TTTTTTTTTCACAAAAAAAAAAAATAATAATAATAAAAAAAAAAGATTTTTCAATTGAAAAAAAATATTTACAGCACTAATGTGTGCGTCGCTTACTCGTTTACAAGCCATTTGGTGTTTTGATCGGTTGTGAGTCATACGTCGAGTCTTGGATTTTTTTGCTACTGCACTGATGGAAGACGACCGCGTCGTGTACGGTCGGGAAGAATCGCACAGATTTCACGTTATTATTACAGCGGATGTACTCCAACGAGCTTTCGGGCACAGCGGCCAGATATACGTCGAACCCGTTGGACACGAGCGATTCGATGGAATCGGACAGAACTTTCACGCCAGCCGCGTCGGCGTACTGCAGGGCCGCCATGTCCAGGACCACGCGCCGAGTTCGCCGGCCGCCGGTCGCGTTCTTGGTATCGACCACAGTCACGGTCATGGTGATGGGCGCGTCCTCGTCGTCTCTCATCACCTCATTCAGCTTCTTCTTGAACATGTACCGGTTGATCACGTTCAGGCTGCCGGTGTACCGGACGATCTTGACGTCGGGCACTTCGGCGGCGTCGCTGTACAGGTCCAACCTCACGTACAGGTCTGTGTCCGGTAACCGGCCGAGCACGTGCACTTCGTTCATCACCCCCTTGACGAACACGATCAGCAGCGACACGGACACGCCGAAAAGCAGCCCCGTATCGGTGTCCAACACTATGGTGGTAGAGTACGTTGCTATCCACACGGTGCCATCGGTCTTCGACTTTCGCCATATCTCCGGGAAGTCCAACACTTGCAACAGGATCCCCTTGAGCGCCACCACGATGATGCTGGACAGCACGCACCTGGGCAGCTGTTCGAAGACGACGCCAATCCAGAGCAGCACGATCACTATGATTCCCGCGGACACGATGCTGGCCATCTGTGTTTTACCACCGACCGTCTGCTGGGAGGCACTGCGCGACGGCGACGCGCCACTGGGCAGGCACGAGAAGAACGATCCGACGACGTTGCCGAGGCCCTGGGCCAGCAGCTCCTGGTTCGTATCCAACGGGTATTTTAGTTTTTCCGACACAAGCAACGCCAGTGACATGGTGATCGAGTACCCGACCAGCGCGATCATACAAGCGTCYATGAACACGACTGAGAAGAGTTTGACTGGTGGCACTTCGAACGCCGGCAGGCCWGATTTGATCACGCCCATCTAAAATATATTACAATCGATTAATTCATCACATTTAAACGTATGATGGCCGGTAGGATGTTTCCAGTTTCCTAGTTATTATATTGCTAATTTTTTGAGAAAAGCATTATTTATGACTATATATCTATAGATACATTTTAGAATAACTGTTCCACACTCATAAGTATTATTATAATAATTAGTTAAACGAGAAATATAAAGAATTTTTTTAAAACTATCGAATTTAATATATATTTTGACTAATAATTAAAAATTATTGGTTATAAGTCATAATATCCGCATTTAAATTAAATTTTTTTTTGTGACATTCCGGAATTTTTTACTATTGTAATAACTTTGTTTTCTTGTATTCATTTTATTTATTAAAGCCTTTGATGAAACGCCTCAATAGATATTCAAATGTATGAAACTTGAATTCAGAAAATTAAAAAAAAAAATAGAGAAAAAAAATACGTTTGATGATAAAAACAGACCACAATACCTATTTTCGATAAACCTACAAAATGTCAGTTTTCATAGAATGGTTTTAAGAGAGAAAGTAAAACAGACATAGAACTTTTGGTGACTTATAAATCATTATATAATTGATTACTATTATACAACCAYGAAAATGATCTGTGCGTTTACCTGAACCATGTTATAGTCCTTGGCAATCGTGGTCACTTGAAATAAAACGGTGGCAATGATCGTCACGATCAGTTCAATTGGCAGAGGCATGCACAGTTTGCTGTTGATCTTCTCCTTCAGGTACTTGTTGTATACCAACAGGATGGCAATGGTCGTTACAGACACGGCTGTCGTCATCAAGTTGATCGTGTGGAAACGGTTGGTGAAATCGTATAACGAGTTCGGCACCTGCATCATGCCAGTCCGCCGTGGAATATCCAGGCCCAGCAACTCCTTTATCTGTGACGTTAACACGATAATGGCCACCGCCGAGGTGAAGCCACTGACCAGCGTCTCCGACAGCACTGTGCACAGCAGCCCCAGTCGGAACACGTACATGAGCAGCTGCACGAGCCCGGCCACCATCGTGACGGCGGTCGCCACCTGGATGGCCGTGTAACCGGTTCCGGATTCGGCCGTGGTGTCGTCGGTCGCGTACATGGTCACCACTTTACCGGTCATCAGGCACAGGACGGACAGCACGCCCAGTGATATGTGGCGGGACGTTCCAAGCAGACTGTAGACAAGCACTGGGAACACGGCCATGTAAAGGCCGACGGTTGGTTCGACGTTACCGAGGATCGAGTAGGCCATACCCTGCGGGATGTTCAACACGGCCACCGCGATGCCGGCCATCGTGTCCTCYACAAAGTCCTCGGACCAGTGGTAATTGAGGAACAGCCAGTCGATGGACGGTATCGTCTTTCGCACGTAGTCCATGCACTTCCGTTTTTTCTTGCGTGGTTTCTTCGAGGGTGGCCGCCGATCCATCACGGCCGGAGCGTTGTTATTGGCTGACAGCGCGTCCACCTGATACACATCTCGCTGAGTATTGATTTCCGGTTGATGATCCATTATCTCAACTTTCACGTCTGTAGAGCAAAAAAAAAAAAAAATTATAATAAATAAAAACACACGGTTAAAGAAAATTTTTCCACGTATAATCGTTTGTACTAGAAATTTAATATTCAATTCAATTGATATTTGATTTTGCAGATTTCGTATACAACTTCTATTCGTCGAAAAACATTTAATTTTAAATAAAATTGTGGGCATTTTTAACTTTGTTTTTACCTATTACGCGTCATGATAATTGTATTTAATAAATTAAAACATTAGCTTAAGATCAGTATAATATCTTCATCACACAAAAATGAGCAATTAAACATTCTGAGACAACATGATATCATACGTATATCATTATTATTTTATGTTACGTGAACTTTATGACACATACTTGAACAGCATAACAACTAACAAGTATGTTGATATCTAATATAGTACTATACWGACATTAAAAAATATACTTGAGAAAATCAAATTAAGACAATATTTTGGTTGAAAAAAATAAAAATTCTATGAAGTGAACCTGCAATCACAAAATGTTTTAACCTGAACCGYTGTCGTTATTATTGTTATTGAGTTATAATATGATTATGGTGTTGCAAGATTTTTATTCAAATATTTCATAAAACCTTACCGYGAATTATTCTATGATATATGACTTAACTAAGTAGTAAAATTTCTATGGAAAAGAAGTAGTTTTAACAAATAATATTAAAGAGACTAAAACTTATAGGCAATCAACTAMCAGTAAATAAAAAAATAAATTATTAAAACTCACTCATTGMTGAACTGCGATGAAATATTTAATTCTGTGTATTTAATAACTAGTAACAAATGTCTTGATTACCAAAAATCTATCGAGAATATCCAAAGCGTAACCACTGATGAATACTATTCAATGAGAACATGTTGTTTCGTCATTTTATATCATATGTAGAAGTGAAATATTTTATCTTAAATTGTCAAATAGATTAAATTAAAATTATACTTATGAATTTTATTACTAAGTGTAGGTGAGTATATTAATAATTGTGTACTTGTAGTGTACTTGATATGATATAATAATACAGCTCTGACGTAAAACTAAACATGATAATTWTTTTTTAGTGGTTTTTAGATACATTTTAGATAATCATAAAATAGATACCTTTCAACATCTTGATTCAAATGATATTGATCTATTAAATATTATTAATCAAAATAATTATACATAATGGGATCATGACCTATTCAATTAGCATTAGTTAAATCGATTAAAATCTTATAAATATTTTTGTGATTCGTTAGTTACTGTTAAGAGGACGTTATACCCGAATGTGTACAAATGTACAAAATAGCAGAAACAGTTTTGCGTGGAAAATAATCGAGAAGGCTAAATTCATAACTAAGAACGAAATTTCCACCACATAAAAAAGAAAAACTTTGGTTATGAAATATACTATTTATTTTTTCGATATCAGAACTAAAAAAAGAGTTGTTCAAGTTTAAAAACCACAAAAAAATAATGGATTTCGAATCAATAACAACTTTTATCATAAAAGTGATATCAAAAAAATAAAAACAATGTTTTACAGATAGTTRTTCGACTATATTTTACATCAATTTGGAGTCTTAACTATTACTGCAGTCCAAGTGGTTTCATCCCGCACAATACAGTTTTTGCCTTGTTGTATATTTGTAAGACGTAGACAACACATGTGGACGTAACGCCATAGCGTCCTTTTTTAATTTATCATCTCATCAACAGTGCCAAGTGTCAACAGTCATCATAGAAAAATAATATAAATAAAATAGATATATTACGATGCAATTATAAACAAGTACCTAGGCATCTAACTAATAAAAAAAAAATATATTCAATAAGTATATTTTTTTTTTTCATTTATTAATTATAATTGTTTCAACAAAATGTTTGTTTTTACAATTTTTTTTTTTTATACATTTATATTATTCATACATTTCATATATAGAGTGATACAATTTGTATATTATTTTAATTTTTAGTAAAATGAATTTAAATTTGAGTTGTTTAGTTAGGTCATTGATCTGATGATACCGATGATGAAGATGATGAGGATGATTCTGGAGGTAGCAAGATGTTTTTGAGGTTGCCGTGGCTTTAGTCTGCGGTTTTTAGTTACTTTCCCAATTTTGAAGTGAAGGGCGCCTTCTGTTGTTTTTAGTTTCGTGTGAAATTTTTTAAATTRTTCAATTATCCATGTGTTTATGTAAGGTATACCAGTGTCATTATGGAGTTGTGTGTTTCGCATGAACCATGGGGCTAAGTATATTATTAAATTGTAATAAACAGTTTTCAATTAGTAAACATTTTGATAATTATTATTAAAATCAACAAATAGGAATTTAATTTTTTTTTGTATTTTATTATGATGAAAAAAAATTCTAAACTGATCCAAAAGTTATAGTAAGATTATAAACCAAAATTTTGAAAAATTGTTGAAATATTTTTTTTCAAGATAGTAACGAAACAAAAATAAAAAGTTTTCCTAAATCATGTAATTTATATAAAGTATAATAATTATATTACAATGGTATTTATTTATTTTATTTTAATATATTTTAAACATTTAGGCCACAACAGTAATCTGGTGTGACCTACTAACTGTGAACAGTAAACATTTCGAGTTGATGAGTATCCAATGTCTATATCCGCAACAGCTTAAACAYGTAACTAACAATACGTTTTATTGGTCCACCTAACTGATACAAGAAATCATTAATAAACAATAATAAATGTATAAGTAACCACAATTTTAAATATTTACATGTTAYATCACCACGAATTACTGCAGTCATATTTTAATATTGTTATAGATTTGTGAAACATTAATAACGATGTAGGTAGAATTAAAATATTATAATCTTACTTAACTACCTATTATCTTATGAATGTTATAAATTATAATATAATCATAAATGTATATATAAATTAATAACAATAATACACGCATTCATTACCACACATAGTTTATTTTAGGATGATAATTAGGTAATAGCAGATACAGTTAATATTCATTTATTTCATGCTCATAGGGACTATTTTGTAATTAGTGTGGTTATCTAAATGATTATAACACCATACTGAATTGGGTGTAGGTGGTAATATAGTTGGTGTTGTTACCAATAATTAATTTATATGTTTTGACAACATAASATTTGTTAGCAAAGGTATTACCAAATCCTTATCAATATATATCAAGTATTATACACCTATAGTACACATTAATTATAATTTGAATAATGTATATCAACATTTTTTTTCCAATCGTATAATTAAATTATCTGACCATTTCCAAAACTATATTTATGGTATAGTTACGAAATATTGATTTGTAAAAAATACTCAAAATGCTATAAATTGTTATGTTCATTAATAGTTATGTTTAATTTATATATTTTTATTTAAAATTTTTATAAATTCGGTGTAGAGTGATTTTGGAAACTATTTAGATTTACTTTAGATTCAATTATGTTGTATATATTTCAACAATTTTATCGAAAACCGAGTTTTACATCAAGTACCCACCTAAGTAAAAATAAATGTCTTTGTTATACATATTTATGTTTTAACTAAAATGTGGGTAAAGTTAAATAAAAATACAATGCAATTTWAAAAAAAGTGCAAGGATAAAGACTTTTATCGATATCGAAAAATAATAAAATTGCTATACAGGGTGATTCTTTTATCAAACAACACTCATTATTTCAAAAACTATTGACTTTTTTAAAAATTTTTTTTCTTCAAAATTTTAGATCCGTCTTGTTTTAGAACTATATATTTTTWAAATATTTTCATTTTTCACCTTTATATTTATCAGGTAAACCATTATCAACTTTTGATTTTCAAATGACAACCTATACTTAAAATACCATAAACTAAAAACGCTATTTTTCAATGAATTTTCACGTTTAAATTTTCATTTTTCATTAAATCGTTTACAAGATATAGTCTCCCAAAGTTGGGTGGTTTTGGGTGGTGTTTGTGAGTTATAGGTGTATGTTAGCTAGGTATTTACACACGAACACCCTATAAGTGTTGTTTGATAAAAGAATCACCCTGTATATGTTTAACTTGAACGTATTTTTCCTTATTCAAAATATACTTCGACATTTGTGTAAGTTGGTAATATATTTAATTTAYCTTATGTTTCTAATGACAAATTAAATTCCATTAACTAACCATCTATTAAGAACCAAGACGAGTACTTACATAGGTAATAGTAGTGTCTGTGTGTGGAATATATTACATGAACAATAACTTGACAAGTTACAAGTTGACTAGTGAATAGAACATTTTTTTTTTTTATATAAACAATAAAACTACAACGATATTTTGAGCAGTAAATCAATGTACATCATTTTTGGCATGAGTATTAATTAGGTATAGTATACATTTTATAATACGTATTATTTTTGATTAAGAAACGATATAAATAAATAACAAATWGATTTAATATTTGATTGTTACTTATTTCAAACCATTTAATATTCTTATAATTAAAATATAATAAAAGTGTGTATTGTCATATACGTATATAACATTATAACCTAGATATTAGCAATACACTTTCTGTAATGGATTTTTTTATATTCACCGGGTACTAATGTGTTTGCAACGATTAAATTGATTGAGAAAACTCTCGTTGCTCGAAAGTTAAACTATCAGATATAGTTCATATTTTTTTTATATATATTACTATATTAGAATAAGTTTCGGCAGCGGTGGCAAATTGGCTGACATTGTTTACATTGATTTTATATAATTTTTTACATAGGTAGTTTTGTTTTTACATATTATTTTATACTATTTGTTTACAATAAATTTTCGATTTCAGTTTCTTTTATGAAGTTAAGTGTCTGTTTGATGACTGATACGTTTGGACCTAATGATTGGTAAAGAAATTCTGAGATGTTGTGTTTGGTTCTTGCATCTTCTGTTTGTCTGCATTCGACGAGTATATTTTGTTTGATAGTCAAGTGAACTCCGCATGCTGTGCACCTGGGT